GCAATGATGAATATGCATATGTTATGAGGTTAAAACATAACATGGCCTTCTTGATACAAGAAACTGCACATTTCTGTTCAGGAAAAAAAATTCTCCCAATCAAAACAACATCTTCCTCTGTCATTCACAACTACGTGCAATCTGAAACGAAAGGTTGTCGTTTCTTTCCTTCCCAAACGTCTAACACTAGCGTTTTAGCATGACATCCCCCTCCCTATTTTTCCCAATAAACAATAATATTTTCAATAAACAATCAGTTCTTTTAGCACAATAGTATTTTGCTAAATTTTTTTCTGAAAGATGCTTTTTAGCCCTTTTTACAAGGTATAATTTCAAAAAATTTCTTCACGTCGGACCCAACCATGGTGGGTCCTCCTACCTCACTAAACTCGACTCTTAGTCCCACTGGGTTAAATTTCGTTGCGCTGTCTACATCATGTACCCCCTCCCCCCCCAATTAGCTGTTTATTAGCCTAATTTTGCAAACCAACATTAAATGAAGTGAATATAAAAAACAATTTACGCTCACGTAGAGAAATAGAAATTTCATAGGCAATGAAGTTTCAAGTTTGTTTTTATTGCTTAGAAGTTTGTCCTTGGTAAAGACCAGTGTACACTGGTAAAGCTTTCACTAGTAACCTATAGACAAACCGTTGCTACGAGGTCTGCAGGGCACCACTCAGTTTTGCAGGGCAGAAACCCTTTTCACCCCCCAAAACTATTGGCCAAGTTACGCCCCTGGTGGCAATGGGTCCCTTGTGTAGTCAGTGGTTAAATTGTTTATGACTTTATAAAACAACGTGAGACGTCTACTCCATCTGCAGGGGTTTAGAGATTCCCACCAAAGGTCGAGGTACAGCTTTTCTCGGGACGTTCCCCTGCAGGCTCCCTTTACAGCTAAGGCAGCGGAGTATTGGACAGACTCTAGCTTCTCCACTAAATTTGATAAGGTGGTACCGCCGGTAAAGTCACATACTTTTGGTGGAATGTGGTATATGACATTGCCATAATCTAAGTGGGGTCGAACATAGAGCTTGTTTAGTTAATTTAGAGTATGCCTAGGCAGATAGCTGGAGAGGAATCTCAACATACCAAAACCTTTCCTTGTCTTTGAGATAGCAGCCTTTATATGAGTAGAGAAGACAACGTTGCGTCCAAGGTAATTCCACGATGTTTATGTTCATCAACTTTCATGACGGACATGTTATTAAATACTATTACTGGGTGATCCAATGCGGATTTTTTCTTCGAAAAGATTAATTCAACTGCTTGCTTCTTTGGGTCAGGATTGACGGACATCCTCCAATCGTGAGCCCACTTCCTCGCCAACTCTAGGTCGTGGTTCATGTCACTGGCAGCTGTGTTTGAGTCTTATAGTGAATAGGAACGTATCATCTGCAAAGAGCTTAACTTTGCACTTTAAGTTTCCAGTCAGGTCATTTATATATATACAAGGAAGAATAGGGGTCTCAGTATAGAACCTTGGGGTACACCAGCTAGAATATCCTCCAGTTAGAGGCCTGCCCGTTCAGAACTGCTCTCTGCTTTCGATTTTTGAAACATATTTTGAATAAGAGATGGGAGCCGACCAGAGATGCCGCATCGTTCTAGTTTATATATGAGGCCATCATGCCATACTCTGTCAAATGCTTGCCATTAAGATTATCGGTGCACTTGGGAAAATCAAATTGCAGAACCATGCAGGGAATTTGGAATTCAGGAAAATGAAATGAAGGCTGTTTCTTTTCTAGGCAATCGACAGATTTAAAAGTAGCTTAATCAATCTGTCAGTCAATATTAGCCAATCACTGAGCGTTTGAGTGAAATCACACGCACTTATTGGTCAATATTGTAAGAAGGCTAAACTCATTTGGTATCTGTTCTTTCGATTGCCTTTAAGGACTATTGTTCAATGCACAAGGCCCTGTGATAGCAAAAAGTTTTTCTTGATTGTTTAAAAAATGCTGACTGGCTATTGAGATGGTCCTAAAGGCTGTGGGCTCTTAGTCCTAGCCCAAAGCTATTTATTAGGAAAACTCTGTTCCAATTGGGCGTTGTCCAATTCTCCTCCGCAGCATGGTTACAAAATTCAAACATACAATTAGCCCCCCCCCCCACTGTTCAGCCTAGTCCAAAATGCTTTTTCCAGCTGCCAAAATAACAAACCCCTAAGCCAAAATAAGCAAACTTATAATAATATTCCTTTTTACACGATTCAACCCTTCAGCTACCCTAATACAATATCAATTAAGTATAAATACATTTTTTCAATTAAAAAAAGATGTATTTGTTCAAACAAAAAAACAAAAAGTATAAATACATTTGTTCAATTAAACTTCAATTCCAAGTTTACTCCAGTCTATGACGCCCTGCTTAAACAGATCAAACAACACCGTAAAACATTATCCAACTGTTTTGGATAAAACAATTTCTATTCGTTTAGCCACGAGATTTTGCGATGTTTGATGAGATTTAAAAACATTTCATAACACATCCAGTAGCGTAGCCAGTGTGGTAAGAATGGGGGGGGGGGCAATGGCAAGTTGAGCGAAGGAAAATGTGGATCCACACCCTTTAGAACGATAGAAAACGCTCTTTTCAAATAGATTTTTAGCCATTATGGTAGGGGGGGGGGGGGAATTTCACTAGCATTGTCGGATAATATTCAACAGTTGTTTAATCTCATGAACTGAAAGACCATCGTGAAATGCCTCTAGATATGCAAAACTAGTTAAAGTTGTCACGAATTGGCAGAGATATGGCCAGATGACTGATGAGCACAGGCTCTTGCTCCATCAAACCTCTGTAGTTGCTGGCCCTAGATCAGCATTAGCTGCTCATTCAGTCTAGCCCTGATACTGGGCGGAACCGAATGTTTGAGGTGCCAGTACTTTTCTTTACTTCACTCTGTATTTGGTCTCTGTTCATAACTCTATGAACAGAGTGAATATAGCAGGGATCCGTTGGCAAAATTTTAATATTTTGCTGCCCATATCTCACGGGTTTTTACTCATCGGCCCAATTTTGCATATCGGGAGGTATTTCATAGAGTACTTCAAATTCATGTGGTAAAATTTTAAAAATTCTAAAAAAGTCTTTCTGTGGCGCCACTCGTATGAACTCTATTGGAACAAATATTCCATTTGAAATTTGAACTGTAAAATGTTTGCTTTTGTGGTCCTTTCATTGTCAGAAACCCCCTTTTTACCCGAATGTGTATCTTTGCAGGTGTGGTAAGAAATATCCGATCCCTGGACATGATCTGCAAGGAGCGTGTGACCCAGAAAGCACTTCGCCTTGCTGTAATCACGTCACTGGTTACTGTGGCAACAAGACAGAAGACTGCAATTGTTCCCAATGCACCGACTTCAGAAAATATAATTCTGCTGAGATCTCAGAATGGGTTCCAAGTGACACCTGCTGTAGAGTAAAAAATTTCACCAAAGATATGGCATGCAGTTTTCTAAACAAGCATTCCATCAACATAGCTTTTATTGGTAAATGCCTTTTTGAAATACTGTCATTTTATATATGGAAGCTCATAAATGGCACTGGCAGTAACCATACATTGTTCAATCAATCAACAGAAAGAACAAAAATAAGATACTCATCCAGGCAATTGACACCCCCTCCCTCCCCGAGCCCACCTTCTTATCTCAGTCTATACAAAGCTTTCGAGTAATCTTGCTTTGAGATGCAAGGCTTTCCAAACTTTTTTATAGGGCGTCCTATTATTGGCAACTACTATTGATGAAAGAGCATAATGTGAAAAGATACCGGAAATGCCAAATGTGATGAGACCGTCTTGCCATGCGTCCGGAGCCCTGGACCCAAATTGAGGTTTTCCATATCCTTCACAATAGACTCAAATAAACCACTGACCGAATTCATTTTTATTTCTTTGTTTTCTACAGGTGACTCTGTTATAAGACAGTTATCAAGAACAATGTTTCTGCTCTTAAGTGGAAATCTACATTCAGGGGCAATGCCTGGCAAAGCAACGGACGAAGAGCGAGCGTTTTGTTATGCGGATCACCAAATAGCTATCAAAAAATGCAACTTGGAAATCGTAGCACACAAATTAGAGGAGCTGCCACCAAGGTCCATTTGCAACGGCAAGGTGAACTTCAATCTTGATTTGGTTGAAAATTACAAGAAATATTTACAAGATAAGGATATGGAGCAAATACGAAAGTATCTCAAAAGGGAAGACTCGTACGTTGTGCTTGCAGTGGGGCTTCATTATCGGCTTGATCTTAACAAAGTTATCGATCTCTACGTAAAGAAAGTTCTGGACGTTATAGAAACGGAGGGAAATGGTTGGCCTAAAGTTATATGGATGGGAATACATGCTGTTCCAGATTTCTTGCTGATGAATCCTCTCTTTCATAATGCTGGTATATTAGAATTCAATAATAAAATACACAACTATTTAATGAGAAGAGGTGTTGCAGTCATAGATACATTTAACATGAGCAAAAGCCTCTTTAGCTATGACGGGCTCCATTACGGGATCGGACTAAACTTTCTCAAAATACAAATCTTACTCAATTACTTAGAAGAGAAGTATGAAAGATGTGATATCTATTAAGATGCAAATGTATGACCTCGTTTTTCACGAGATCGTTATTTTTTAACCGGTATATGGTATATGAAATTGTAGTGCAAATTTCAAAATTGAAGACTTACCTAGACTTAATCAACAAATTACGCTTTTGATTTGAATCAACAGACAATTAATCCGATGTAGCGATCGGAAAGCGAGGCACTAGCAAAACAGAGGCCCTTAGAAGTAAGTCTTGCCATAGCAGCAAAAGAG